CTACCTATGCAACCCAGCATGGGTGAACCGACCTGCAAAAAGATTTAAAATGTCGCAGGCTGAAGCGTAAAGTGGAAGCCTGCGAGTCTGCCGCACGTTGATGTTGGATCGGCGGGGCCTCACCTGAAGTGTGTGACACTCCAATGAAAAATAAAGCCAGCTTCATTCTGAGTTGCGTTTTATCAGCTTCTACCTCCGATTTCTTTGAGCTCCATTTTCTCAGTTTCATTTTTTTTGAGCAGTTGCTGTCAGTCATCCCTATGCCATTCGGTTTCCTGCACTTCTGAGACATTGGTGAGTGCCGTAAAGCTGTTCATATTTGTGCGCATGTCATACAGGCTTTTGTAAAAGTTGCTGGTAAGACAATATGTCTAGAATATTTGATATACAGCCTTTTGTAAAAGTTGTTGGTAAGACGATATGTTTAGGATTTTTAGAAAAAAAATTTGTGTGCTTACTTTATTATTAAAGATAAACTAATAGCATTACAGCACAAAATGGACCCTTGTAAATATCCTTATGCAAAAATTCTGATGAAACTGTGTCTATTAGCTAATAATTTTGGGGTGACAGTGAGAGTCTATCAAGTGTTGCAACTCAAAAGTAGATAGCTCAAAACTGCTTTCAGTTATGATAGCACAAAAAATGACATCTGCATGCCAAATTCCATTTGTTTAGCTTTATAAATAACAAAGATAATTTCCATTGCCACGTCCCCCCTTAATCCTTATGTCAAGGGTAAACTTTATACTGGTGGGAATTTTTCTATTGTGGTAATAACAATATAGATTATCATTTTGATTAACTAATGAACAAATTAGACTACAGAAAAAGTAAGTAAGCATGCCAACTCTCATCATATTCCGTAAAAAAATATACGAGATATCCCATGGACCCATGTACCCACTTAAAATCTTTCTCTGGAAGCGTTATAATTCGCACATACAGCTCCTGCGCTACCACACATCCTTCCACAAACCTAGCGTGGAGCCCAACACCAGTGTTCACCATTCCTCCTAGAAAGTGCTAAGTTAGAGTTGCCCGTAGTTGCGGGCCCCTGCTTCTGCTTTCAAGAGACTGCAGACTCACCCAGGTTGCCCACACGACCAGTACGGCCAATTCGGTGGACATATTCCTCTATGTCACTGGGCAAGTCGAAGTTGATTACATGCTTCACATTCGGAATATCCAAACCTCTTGCAGCAACCTGCAACAGAGAATGTACTAAGAATGTATGCTGAATAAACTACTAGTCTCACAAACCAGCAGTTACGAATGCACAAGAAACAAGAACACAGAAAAGTTTGTTGCAAAGCAATAACATACAAAGCCAGCCTGCCTTTTTGCTGGCCCCATTTTACAGGTTTGAAGCTAATGTACAGTGTTCGTGGAAAAAAAAAGTATAATGAGAACACTGGGGACTGCAGATTTGGAGCAATTTTCGGAGCAGTCAAGTTTTAGTTTTGGAGAACTTTGGAGGAGTAATAGTTCAGTTCTGGAGCATCTTGTAGCAGGTAATCTTGCAATGGGGAGCCCCTGGAAGCACTACAATTTTAGTTTTGGATCATTTCGGAACAGGTTATCTTGCTGTTAGAAGCATTTTACAGCAGCAAAATTTTAGTTTTAGAGCAGGTGATCTTAGTTTGGAGCAGGTTTTAGGAGCACTTTGGCATAGGTATATATTCATAATGGAGCACTTCGGAGAAGAAAGTACCTCGAACACTTTAATATAAGACGCTGGCCTAGAACAAAGGATCTTTTTAGATTGAAAAAGGCTTTGAGAACTTTCACGTCACTCTTTTTACCATCTCAGGTTTATTAATTGGGGAGAAAATATTGGTAATACATTTATAAATTACACATTTCGGAATTTCGCGCCGAAATCCCTGCACGTGATAACACGAATTTCATGTGTATTTTTTTTTCAATTCGAACTTTCGCTCAATTCGAACTTTCAGTTCATTAGAACTGACGCTCTGGTCCCGTCAAAGCTATGTGTATTCCAATGGGCAAAAACGCCCTGTAAATCGAATCCACAAGCACTTGCGACGGTCAATTCGAACATACCGCGCTCCGAAAATGCTCTCGGCATTACGCCCAATCCCACGGCGGCACCTCCGACACCTCAACGCTGCGGGCAAAGAAGGAAAAGAAGAAAAGGAAAGGCTGGGGCGGAATGATTTCTCTCTCGAATGCATACCTGCCAACCTGGCAACAGAAAAATTCGTAAAATCACTTAGTGGGGAGGGCGCGGGCGGCAGTTACCAACTTTTTCCAAAAGTTTGGAGCTGTGATAAATTTGCCTTTAGCGACAAGCATAACAACTTTTTGCCGCCATAAGTCAAATCGGCGCGCTGAATTACTTCCCCCCATTTTTGGCAACAAAAGAAGAAAAAAAAGCACAGCGAAAAACAATGGGGGGTGGGGTGTGTGTGTCTCAAATGCAAGCGCAAACATCGGCGCTGCGGTCTCATAATGGCTTGGAGTGGCCGAACAAACGAGAGTAGGGTTTTCTACTAAGGTGAGAGTCAATAAGGGGGAGCGCAAATGCTACCGGCTGAAATTTCGCGTCATTAAAACAACTAGCAAAATATATTTCCGTCGAAACAACTCGCGTACGTCTTCCTGGGACACACGTCAATGAACAGCACGGTGCAGCTGGCTGCCGCGAAAGTGAGGGTCAAAGCTTTGGCCTTGCTCGCTACTAGATTCTTTGGACAGGAACGGCAAAACGATTCTAGCCTTTTTTACATCTTTGCCACCTTTCATCCTGCCACTGCGTCAGTCATGTGTCCTCAGAGCTCGTAGATAGCCATCACATCGCCGCGACCGCAGTTTTGTGCGTGGCAGTCTGCGGCAAATGATAGTTTTATTTTCAATTCACGTGCCTTTAAAACTAAGTCGTTTTAGGCTATCTACTGTTGCAACTGCCGCGCTTTTTTCCAAAGAGTTTGCGAAAAGCAGCGTTGCTATGACTGGTCGAACGTTGGCCGTGCAAACACTTTAGGAGTTCTGTCAGTAACGTCGTCGCCATACATGATGACGTCCGACCGCGGTTTCGCTCAAAGCGGTAGTGGCAACAACCTCACGCACTGTAGAAAACAGTGCGTAGTTATATCTTAAGTGATTATCAAGCCGTGAACACGTCACGAAGCGGCGATTATCGAGAGCCATGTCCTCGCGACGCACAAGCAGCAGACGACGATCTCCCGGAGCGAGCATCGGGCCAATGGCGAGGCGAGTTGAGGCAACATGGCGGCCACGGCCAATCAAGGGCCTCAAAACGACCTTCAAACATTTGCTTTTTGCTCCCTTGTTGTTAAAGGGAGGAGCCAGCTGAGGCGGGAAAGTTAAACACGGAGAAATGCTCTTTCCGATGAGCCCAAGAAGCCGGCTCCTGGCCCAAGCATAGCGAAGCTATTCTTTTTTGAAAATCGCCGTTTTCTCGCCATTTCCAAAAAAATTTTTGCTACCTAGGTGGGTGAAACGAATTTTCCGAAGCACTTCTGCGCGGTTTTCAGTGTAGATATTTTGGAACCAGATAGAAAAAGGGTTCCAGAAACTGAAAACTTGAGTTTCGAAAAATCGATTTTTTTGCCATTTTTCGCGATCCCAAAGCCGCGTCCCCCCTTAAACAATAGGGGATGAACTTAAATTATCTCAGGAATAAGATGAGTTACAAGAAAACTAATTAAACATTCAAAATTAGCAGAAAAAACTGCATAATGCTGTGCAGTTTGATCAAGATCACTGAAGAAATAAACAAAAAATGTCTAAGAGCAGTCTTCCCCCGTAAGTTAACTTTTGTAATCTTCTGTCTATTGCTTTTTTTTAAAATTAAATGCTTTTTTGTGTGTAATCAAATCTCTGTGTCTGCTTTACGAGTGCGTCGGTCAGGCTCATAAATCACTACCTATGCAACCCAGCACGGGTGAACCGACCTGCTAAAAGATTGAAAATGTCGCAGGCTGAAGCGTAAAGTGGAAGCCTGCGAGTCTGCCGCACGTTGATGTTGGATCGGCGGGGCCTCACCTGAAGTGTGTGACACTCCAATGAAAAATAAAGCCAGATTCATTCTGAGTTGCATTTTATCAGCTTCTACCTCCAATTTCTTTGAGCTCCATTTTCTCAGGTTTCATTTTTTTTGAGCAGTTGCTGTCAGTCATCCCTATGCCGTTCGGTTTCCTGCACTTCTGAGACATTGGTAAGTGCCGTAAAGCTGTTCATATTTGTCCGCATGTCATACAGACTTTTGTAAATGTTGCTGGTAAGACAATATGTCTAGAATATTTGATATACAGCCTTTTGTAAAAGTTGTTGGTAAGACGATATGTCTAGGATTTTTAGAAAAAAAATTTGTGTGCTTACTTTATTATTAAAAATAAACTAATAGCATTACAGCACAAAATGGACCCTTGTAAATATCCTTATGCAAAAATTTTGATGAAACTGTGTCTAATTAGCTAATAATTTTGGGGTGACAGTGAGAGTCTATCAAGTGTTGCAACTCAAAAGTAGATAGCTCAAAACTGCTTTCAGTTATGATAGCACAAAAAATGACATCTGCATGCCAAATTCCATCTGTTTAGCTTTAAAAATAACAAAGATAATTTCCATTGCCACGTCCCCCCTTAATCCTTATGTCAAGGGTAAACTTTATACTGGTGGGAATTTTTCTATTGTGGTAAGAACAATATAGATTATCATCTTGATTAATTAATGAACTAATTAGACCACAGAAAAAGTAAGTAAGCATGCCAACTCTCATCATATTCCGTTAAAAAATATACGAGATATCCCATGGACCCATGTACGCACTTAAAATCTTCCTCTGGAAGCGTTATAATTCGCACATACAGCTCCTGCACTACCACACATCCTTCCACAAACCTAGCGTGGAGCCCAACACCAGTGTTCACCATTCGTCCTAGAAAGTGCCAAGTTAGAGTTGCCCGTAGTTGCGGGCCCCTGCTTCTGCTTTCAAGAGACTGCAGACTCACCTAGGTTGCCCACACGACCAGTACGGCCAATTCGGTGGACATATTCCTCTATGTCACTGGGCAAGTCGAAGTTGATTACATGCTTCACATTCGGAATATCCAAACCTCTTGCAGCAACCTGCAACAGAGAATGTACTAAGAATGTGTGCTGAATAAACTACTAGTCTCACAAACCAGCAGTTACGAATGCACAAGAAACAAGAACACAGAAAAGTTTGTTGCAAAGCAATAACATACAAAGCCAGCCTGCCTTTTTGCTGGCCCCATTTTACAGGTTTGAAGCTAATGTACAGTGTTCGTGGAAAAAAAAAAAAGTATAATGAGAACACTGGGGACTGCAGATTTGGAGCAATTTTCGGAGCAGTCAAGTTTTAGTTTTGGAGAAATTTGGAGAAGTAATATTTTAGTTCTGGAGCATCTTGTAGCAGGTAATCTTGCAATGGGGAGCCCCTGGGAGCACTACAATTTTAGTTTTGGATCATTTCGGAACAGGTTATCTTGCTGTTAGAAGCATTTTACAGCAGCAAAATTTTAGTTTTGGAGCAGGTGATCTTAGTTTTGAGCAGGTTTTAGGAGCACTTTGGCATAGGTATATATTCATAATGGAGCACTTCGGAGAAGAAAGTACCTCGAACACTTTAATATAAGACGCTGGCCTAGAACAAAGGATCTTTTTAGATTGAAAAAGGCTTTGAGAACTTTCACGTCACTCTTTTTACCATCTCAGGTTTATTAATTGGGGAGAAAATATCGGTAATACATTTATAAATTACACATTTCGGAATTTCGCGCTGAAATCCCTGCACGTGATACCACGAATTTCATGTGTATTTTTTTTCAATTCGAACTTTCGGTTCATTAGAACTGACGCTGTGGTCCCGTCAAAGCTATGTGTATTCCAATGGGCAAAAACGCCCTGTAAATCGAATCTACAAGCACTTGCGACGGTCAATTCGAACATACCGCGCTCCGAAAATGCTCTCAGCATTACGCCCAATCCCACGGCGGCACCTCCGACACCTCAACGCTGCGGGCAAAGAAGGAAAAGAAGAAAAGGAAAGGCTGGGGCGGAATGATTGCTCTCTCTCGAATGCATACCTGCCAACCTGGCAACAGAAAAATTCGTAAAATCACTTAGTGGGGAGGGCGCGGGCGGCAGTTACCAACTTTTTCCAAAAATTTGGAGCTGTGATAAATTTGCCTTTAGCGACAAGCATAACAACTTTTTGCCGCCATAAGTCAAATCGGCGCGCTGAATTACTTCCCCCCAGTTTTGGCAACAAAAGAAGAAAAAAAGCACCGCGAAAAACAATGGGGGGTGGGGGGTGTGTGTCTCAAATGCAAGCGCAAACATAGGCGCTGCGGTCTCATAATGGCTTGGAGTGGCCGAACAAACGAGAGTAGGGTTTTCTACTAAGGTGAGAGTCAATAAGGGGGAGCGCAAATGCTCCCGGCTGAAATTTCGCGTCATTAAAACAACTAGCAAAATATATTTCCGTCGAAACAACTCGCGTACGTCTTCCTGGGACACACGTCAATGAACAGCACGGTGCAGCTGGCTGCCGCGAAAGTGTGGGTCAAAGCTTTGGCCTTGCTCGCTACTAGATTCTTTGGACAGGAACGGCAAAACGATTCTAGCCTTTTTTACATCTTTGCCACCTCTCATCTTGCCACTGCGTCAGTCACGTGTCCTCAGAGCTCGTAGATAGCCATCACATCGCCGCGACCGCGGTTTTGTGCGTGGCAGTCTGCGGCAAATGATAGTTTCGTTTTCAATTCACGTGCCTTTAAAACTAAGTCGTTTTAGGCTATCTACCGTCGCAACTGCCGCACTTTTTTCCAAAGAGTTTGCGAAAAGCAGCGTTGCTATGACTGGTCGAATGTTGGCCGTGCAAACACTTTAGGAGTTCTGTCAGTAACGTCGTCGCCATACATGATCATGTCCGACCGCGGTTTCGCTCAAAGCGGTAGTGGCAACAACCTCAAGCACTGTAGAAAACAGTGCATGTACTAGTCTACGCATACTTCCGAAACTTCAAGCATGCTGCTCGCGATCGAGCTTCGTTCGACGGTTGCGGTAGTTAAGTTCATATCACAAACCGCAGTGAGAAAAAGTGTTCGGAACATCCGAATTTTGGCCAAATGGACACATTAATTGGGGAATTTCACAAATTTGTATCTGTTGCAGTTTCACATTACTGAGACTCTACTGTAAGTTTACATGAGTGCCTCTCAAATTCGTTTATAATGCAGTGGGCTTGCAAAAAGCCTGGAATGGACTGACCAGCATTTTTGTCAATGCGGCGAGATCTCGCACACGCATTGCGATTTTCGGGAGAATTTCATGGCAATCCTACACACAAAAGAAGCGGTCGCAATCCGGGAGTCTCCCGGACTATGGCGAAACTTCGCAAGTATGTGATGATGATAACACCAATACATATAGTTCTCTCCTAATGGCAGAATGTAGCCCAACGCCGTTTTTGTGGCCTCCGCGACCAGCTACGGCAATGTGCCATAGCCAGTCGCGGAGGCCATGACATTTGACTAATTTTTTTTTTATCGGAAATGAAATATTTTTTGTAGATTTCAGGCAAGATTCATAAAATCGTATGCACGATCAAAATTTGTATATTTTACGGGAAAATCGCAAGAGTTGGCAGGTATGCAAATGCCGATCTGGGACGCACCTGTGCCATGGTTCTTTTTCAGTGCCTTTCAATGCAGTGCACAAGTCAATGAGTTTTATCTCTCTTTCCTCTCTATCTTTCATCTCTCCATCCCCCCACCCCCATGCACAGGGTAGAAAACCGGCTGCCTATAGACTGGCTAACCTCCCTGCCGTTCTTTTCCTCTCATTTTTCCTTCCTTCAACACAGCACACGGAGAGAAAGAGAGCTGTCGCGAAGTAGTGTTGGTAATGGTTTGAAGAAGAAAGAAGAAAGAGGAAGAAAGGCGCCCAATTTCCGCAGCCTGGTAAGGAGCAGGGCGCAGCCCCTCCACGAGTGTTGGCTCTCTCTAAAATGCCGATCTGCGACGGGCCGGTGCCATGCCTCCCCATTCCCCGTCCCTGACACGTAGAGGCCCTTTTCCTTTCAACGCTGCGCGTGTAGAAAGAGAGAGAGAAAAAAGTGTGGGAATTGAGGCTAGTCCACTGCCGTTGCGCGAGCTTTGCGGCCTTTTCTGCCGTTCACACGTCCCGACATGACTCCCCTCCTCCGCTGTCTGCCGCGCTGGGAGAGCGAGGAATGATGTTTTACCCCTCTCACCCGGTAGCGGATGTCGACTGTGGCCCTGCGCGCTGAATCTCCGGAGAGGTATTGCGCGCGAGCCGTGAGCTGGTCAGCTGACAGTGAGCCACGCAATCTTTTCCGTCCGTTAACTCCCATCGCTCGGAGCTCGTCCGACTTTGCTGACGGCGCGTCGCTCTGGAGGCCAACGCTCACCTTTTGTTGCCCTTAAGGGGAGACGCGGGTCGAAAAGTCGCGTTTTTTTCCAAATTTCACCTTTTCTGTTTTTTGTTGCTTTATCATCTTTATACATTATATTTTGACATCTGAAAATATCACAGCGAAATAAGCATCAGAAGTCAGTGAAAAACGCGTCTGAGTGAGCGGCAGTGACGCGCGGCATCACGAAATTTACACAAAACGGGCTGCTGTTCGCGTGCTCGCGGGGCCGCGAAGAGAGCTGTCCGCCATATTGCGGCCGCTGGCTCGTGTAGAGTTGTCCTTACTCTCCACGATCCCGGTTCTTGAAGTCTCGTACGTTCACGAAAAATCTAAAAAAAAAGCAACAAAAACAGTCTTTTCCCGCCGTTTCAAACCGCGCGCCACTAACGCAGGGCCGCCATTGGCTGACAGCACCCGTGTTTTCTTGCCGTAGTTCGCTTCACTGTTTTCCGGAGTTATTTTTCGCTGTTTTCGTGCGATGGCAAGCCCGAAAAAGGCCGTTGCCGACCATCGGAAATACAGAAGTAAGAACAAGTTCAGAGGGAAGCGGCGGAGGACGTACAAGAAAGCCACCGCCAACGAAAATGTCCGCGACGGGCCAGTGGCCGGTAGGCCTAACATCGACCACGGCAACGTCGACCATGGCAACTGCGACGACGAGATCAACGCTGCAGTGAATTTTGTGAGTGCATCGCAGAAAAAGATCGCGTTATTCGAAAACGACGTCAGGCCGAATGCCGATCGTGCCGAAAGCGTAGTGCTGTGCGAGTTGGGTGCATTGACGGCCGTCGTCGCAGGCGCGGCATGCCCCGTTTGTCACGAGAGTAAACTCGCAGTTCGGGCACCGAATAAAAAGCGGAAAGGCCTTTCGGCGTTTCTGGAGCTACACTGCGAGAATGCGGAGTGCTCGGAGAGCATCCTTTCGTCCGCGTACTCGTCGAAGCGGGTCGCGTCAGATGGCGGCCGCGGTGCAAGCAGAAGCTACGACAGCGGGAGTTCGCGTGACGCCTTTGCCGTGAACCTGAAAGTGGTGCTTGCAGCGCGTGCCGTCGGTATCGGGCATGAGCAACTTTCACGATTTTGTGCAGTAGTTGGATTGCCAAACCCTATGCACCATAAGACCTTCCATGCTATCGGCAAAAAGATTCACAGTGCGGCAGTGAAGGCTGTCTGTGAAAACATGCAAAGGGCACGCAGCGTCACCAAAGAGGTGGCTGGTAACAGTGACGTGCCAGTCATGTTTGACGGCACATGGCAAAAAAGAGGCCACAAAAGCCACAATGGTGTGGGAACTGTAGTGTCCTTGGACACTGGTTTGTGCCTGGACTATGAAGTGCTTTCCAACTTCTGCCTGGCGTGCAGTTTGCATAACGACATGGGAGGCGATGAAGAAACATGGCAGGCGTTTCATCATCCCGTTTGTGAGAAGAATTGCGACTGTTCTTCGCATGCCATGGAGGCCGAAGCTGCAGTGCGCATTTGGCAGAGGACTGTGGACTATGAGACACCCCTGCGGTTCACCATCTTCCTAAGCGATGGAGACAGCAAGGCCTACAACGGGGTCTGTGATGCCAACGTGTACCCTGACACTCCAATTGAAAAAGAGGAGTGCACCAACCACGTGGCGAAACGTCTGGGCACCGGCCTGCGGAAGCTGCCAACGCCA